GCAGCCACTGCACTCCATTCTGGGCGACAGAGTGAGACTCTAACTCAAAAAAAACAAAAAAACAAAAAACATTTTCCTTTTTTAGTTGGAGTTTCACTCTGTTGCCCAGGCTGGAATATAGTGGCAAAATCATGGCTCACCACAGCCTCAACCTTCTAGGCTCAGGCGATCCTTCTGCCTCAGCCTCCCAAGTAGCTGGGACTACAGGTGCACACCACCATGCCCAGCTAGTTCTTAAATTTTTTTGTAGAGACAAGGTCTTGCTATGTTGCCCAGGCTGGTCTCAAACTCCTTGGCTCAAGCAGTCCTCTTGCCTAAGCCTCCCAAAGTGCTAGGATTACAGATGTGAGGCATCTTGTCTGGCAAAAACATGTTTTGTTTTGTTTTTTGAGTTGGAGTCTCATTCTGTCGCCCAGGCTGGAGTGTGGTGGCACGCATGCTAATGGCCACCCCAGCATCGATCTGCTGGGCCCTGGCGATCCTTCCACCTCAGCCTTCCAAGTAGCTGGAACTACAGGCACGTGCTACCACGCCTGGCTAATTTTTTATTTATATTAGAGACAAGGTCTTGCCAAGCTGCCCAGGCTAGTCTCGAACTCTTGGGCTCAGGTAATCCACTTGCTTCGTCCTCCCAAATTGCTGGGATTACAGGCTGAACCACTGAGCCCGGCCGGCAAAAACATTTTAAAACATAAACGCTGCTTTGTTTAGCTGGTGCAGAAAGATACATGTAGTTGTCTCAGTAACAACTATGCAACAAAACACATTTCAAAAACTGGGCAAAACACTCATCTCTTCTCAGCATGACAGTGCTCTTTGCAATATTTTGTTGTTTCTGAAATGAAGGTACACCAATGTGTTCTTAGGACTATGAAGGTTTTTATATTTTTAATTTTTTTGTGTTGGAGTCTCACTCTGTCGCCCAGACTGGAGTGCAGTGGCACGCTCCCGGCCACCGCAGCCTTGATCTGCTGGGCTCAGATGATCCTTCCCCCTCAGCCTTCCAAGTAGGTGGAACTACAGGCATACACCACCACGCCCGTCTAATTTTTTCATTTATTGTGAAAACAAGTTCTCACCAAGCTGCCCAGGCTGGTCTCAAGCCCCTGTGGTGAGCCATGATTAGCCTGTGGGTTCAAGACTAGCCTGGGCAACTTGGCGAAACCTCATCTCTACAGAAAAAAAACAAAATTAGCCAAGCATGGTGGCGTATGCCTGTAGTTTCAGCTACTTGGAAGTCTGAGGGGAAGGATCGCCTGAGCCCAGCAGGTCAAGGGTGCAGTGGCCGAGAGCGTGCCACTGCCCTAGAGCCTGGGTGACAAAAAGTGAGACTCTAACTCAAAAAAAAAAAGAAAGAAACTTGAAACTCCTTTGCAAAACTTACTAGGTCTGGTCTACCTTCCTAGCCTTGTCTTCTGTTACACACCCTCAATTTAGGGCTTAAGCAAACAGGGCAAACACTTTCAGATCTCAGACACTGCTTTTGAAGTTCTTGCCACTTGGAATGTGTGCCTGTAACGACTTATACCTATGATAGCATTGAACACATTGCTAGTTGCTAAGGTGACCGTCTCTCTCAAGTCACTCTTTGCTTCTCCAGAGCAGGGGTGTTGTACCATTCATCATTGTGCCCCCAATATTCTAGAACATGTATAACACATAATAGGTAGGTGCTCATACGGTTTAATTACATTAGTTTTTGGATAGCTTGACTCTCATTCTGAACCAGCAAGTACACTGCAGGTTTGGGGAAAGCTGAGAGAGCACAGTGCTGCTCGGCAGCGGGGGAGGGCAACAGAAAGTGAGATCGCCGCCAGACTTGGGGAGTGGGGGTGGAGAACTGCGTTACGCGCGCGGGGACCGGATGCGTAAACGTCATGCAATTCGTTGTAAGTTTCAGGGTCAGGAGGAAGGAACCGCGCACTGCATGCTGGGATCGGCCCGACAGGCGGCCGCACTGCATGCCGGGATTTGTAGTTCGGTCCCCTTGCCGGCAGGATACTCAGACCAATTACCTTTGGCCATCTTTAATCATGTCCTTACACCGATAAGGTACAGTTATTGGTCATCTAGCACAGAACCACGAGGTCCTCCAGAGAAAGTCTTCCTAACTGCATACTTCAGAGCAAACCCTGTTTCGGCGAAGGCTACCAGAAAGGCGCGTTGAGGGCGACTGCCTGTGTTCAAGTCTTGCGTCTCTGCGCGCATGCGCGCCCGCCGTCCTCGCGAGGCCTTCTTGAGCCGGGTGGCGCAGGCGTAGTGTCCCCGGGCCAAGATGGCGGCGCGGTGCTCCACACGCTGGTTGCTGGTGGCTGTGGGGACCCCTCGGCTGCCGGCTGCAGCGGGGAGAGGAGCCAGGCCGTCCAGGGAGGGCATGGTTGGGGCGTCGCTGGGCCGCAGGCTGAGCATCACCGCCTTCGCGCCTCCCCTAAGTGCTCGCGGCCCCAGGGCGCTGCTGACATTGAGACCTGGTGTCAGCCTTACAGGTGAGGGCAGGCTCCAGCGCCCGAGCGGCGGCTTCAGGGCCTCGAAGGGGGTGACTCTCCTCGTTCTTGCTACGGCTACAGGGGTTGCGGGGTGGAGGGTGTCTTCCGACTTGGATGCGGAATTGCTGGAGAGACGGGGAGAAGGAAGCAGAGTGGTCCGAGAGGCTGCTCAGAAGCCCTCAGGGGCGGAGAGCGGCATGGAGCCCCCGCGGCGCTGATGAAACGCCTCGTTGGCCGTGAACTTTCACCCTTCTGTCAACATTTCTGGAGACCGTTGCTCCTTTGCTGTATTCCCTTCCCATTTCTCCATCTGCCAGCCAGCGGCGGAAGGGAAGAGGTAACTGCCAATCGTTGAGTACTAGGCACTTTGTGCCTGGTCTCACTGATGGTACCAACACTGCAAGATGCTGGTCGTCTTCCCTGTTTTAGAGAATGGGAAACCGAGACTCTAACAGAGGAACTGGCTAGTCCAAGGTCATAAAATTAGATAAGAGGAGTTGTCTCAAACCCAGAGCTGTCGTTAAATAGCTTGTGCAGTTTCTACCACGTGGTGTAAATGGAAGGGCACAGTTAACAGTCTTTTTTAGAAGTCTTTAAATTGGTGATTGTAATAACACAGTCTAACATCTACTGAGCACTATTTTACCAAGCATGGTGTATCTCTTTACATTATGTTTCCATGTGATAGGCACTGTTATCATTCCATTTTATAAAGAAACTGAAACTGGCTCAGCCTGTAATCCCAGCACTTTAGGAGGCCGAGGCGAGCAAATTGCCTGAGCCAGTGGGTTTGAGACCAGCCCGGGCAACTTGGTGAGACCTCATCTCTACAATAAATCAATAATTAGCCGGGCGCGGTAGCGCACGCCTGTAGTTCCAGCTACTTGGAAGACTGATGCGGAAGGATCACTGGAGCCCAGCAGGTTGACTTTGGGGTGACTGTGAGCTTGCCACTGCACTCCAGCTTGGGCTACAGAGTGAGACTCCAACTCCCCCCCCCAAAAAAGAAAAAGAAACAAGTTGAGGCGCTAAACAACTGTAGAATGTCACAAAATATTCGTGACCCACTGGGCAGCGAGACCTCATCTCTACAATAAATCAGAAAATTAGCCGGGCGTGGTAGCACATGCCTGTAATTCCAGCTACCTGGAAGGCTGAGGTGGAAGGATCGCCGGAGCCCAGCAGGTTGAGGCTGTGGTGGCCAGGAGCAGCCACTGCACTCCAGTCTGGGTGACTGAGTGAGACTCCAACTCAAAAAAAAAAGAATGTCACAAAATGGTGGAGGCTCAATTTGAAACCTGATGCCTTCTTAAATACCTGAGTTGATATTGAATTATGCATTAAACTTTGACATGCTTAGCCATAACGTTTTCTTATGCTGTATGTGGGATGGCCACCATATATGTGCCTGAGTTGTGTTTGTCATTTTGCATCCTCTAGAATTTGTGCAAATTGTATTTAAACATAAGTGTATAAAGATTAATTAAAGGACCCTGACAAGGTAATTTACACAAGATAATTTACTATTGCCATCCAGTTTTGTTCATTTACATACTAGGCAGTCATTAAAGTATTACAAAGTAATTGTGATTACTTTGTGCAGTATAAATAAGATACCCCTGGGCTTCATGATTGAACAGACTTGCATTCCAGTGTCACCTGGCTGTGTTATTTAATCCTTTTGAGCCTCCCTTTCCTTAACTGAAAATTCATTCACTCACAGGTATTTATTGAAGCTTATCATATGCCAGCCATCATTTTAAGTCCTGAGGATACAGCAGAGAACAAAGAGATTGGATGTGGGTTTGGTCAAGTTTTTTTTTGTTTGTTTGTTTGTTTTTTGAGTTGGAGTCTCACTCTGTCGCCCAGACTGGAGTGCAGTGGCCGCTCCCGGCCACCGCAGCCTCAACCTGCTGGGCTCCGGCGATCCTTCCACCTCAGCCTTCTGAGTAGCCGGAATTACAGGCATGCGCTACCACACCCGGCTGATTTTTTTTGTTTTATTTATTGTAGAGATGAGGTCTCGCCAAGTTGCCCACGCAGGTCTCGAACCTGTGGACTCAGGCAATCCACTCACCTCGACCTCCCAAAGTGCTGGGATTATAGGCTGAGCCACCAAACCCGGCCTGGCTTTTTCAGTATAAGCAAAAGTAGCCATTTTTAGAACTTGATAATATTTTCTTTTTCTTTTTTGAGTTGGATTCTGACTCGTCGCCCAGACTGGAGCGCAGTGGCACGCTCCCGGTCACCACAGCCTCGCCCTGCTGGGCTCCAGTGATCCTTCTGCCTCAGCCTTCCAGGCCTGTGCTACCACGCCTGACTAATTTTTTTTATTTATTGTAGAGACAAAGTCTCGCCAAGTTGCCTGGGGCTGGTCTTGAGCCCGCGGGCTCAGGCAGTCCACTGCCTCGGCCTCCCAAAGTGCTGGGATTACAGGCTGAGTCACTGAGCCCAGCCTCTGGGTTGTTTTAAAAATGGCA